GAAATGGAATTGGAAAGAATCTGTCTACAAGGTTATTGCAGAATCATTTATTCTGAGCTTTTCAGTTAGAAAACATATGAGACATGAGGCTATAACCCCTTCAAAGCTTCTTTTTCCAGGCCTTGCTACAGCACATTCTGTGTTACAGCACATTACCCTTTTCTTTTTCTTCCCTTTAATTCTGGGCTCAACAAAAGGAGGAGCTGTTGCAAAAGGTCCTACAAATTGTTATATCAAAAATTCTTTCTTCTGTCAGTTTGAAATTGTAATCTCTGTTTCAAAGAATGTTCTCTATACCTAGAAAAATGGTCACAAAGGCGCCAATAGATGTAATTTTATATTAATACCAAAACATTGTCTTCACTTACATACTTTAAAATCGAATGTAAGTTAGTGAAACTCACCCACTGGTTTTTTTCCAGCTCTTGAAAGCACAGCAGTGACTTGGATATGATAGGTCAGCTCGCATTAGCTGAAGAAATACCTTTACAGCTGGTAGTTTCTTTAAAGTCCATGTATGCTTGGCCATTAGTTCTTTAAGGCTTTCCAGTCCTTTGGCTGGAAGGTTAGCAACGGCTGTTCTGGAGACATCCCTAGATAAAGGAAGAAAAAGACAAACATCAGAATATCCAACGACTGGATCAGAATTTTTTCAGATTCTGACAGTAATTTAGGAGTTTCATACAATTCTACAGCAAAAATCAAATCCAGAGGAGGTGGAGATTTCATATCACTTTGCTAGGTTCTGATACCATTCAAATTCAAGTAGGATATGATTCTTCCTGTGATTTTCTCTGTGTTTTAAAGCTTTTGTCTTTAATGTCTCTTAGTGCAGAATATGGATGATAAAGAAACATCAGGACTTTTAAAATGACACCTTTAAAGCCAACCAGGTACAAATGCATATGCAAAACAAAAGTTTTAAAAATTCATTAAAGAAATCACATCTTCCCATTGGAAGAACTATTTTCCTTTAGACCTCTTTAGACTCATTTTAACCTATTGGGATACTTCAGTAGAAAGCATTATAATTACTAAAACAACGTTCTTCATAAACTGAAACTAAAATTTTCTATCTCTGTCCATCCTGAAACTCTCAGAAAATTTAGCATTATGTTTGCTGCTTTCTGTTTCTCTGGTACCGAGTCCAACTCAGCAGGTACGTTGCACAGTTCGCGGGGGAGGTGGATTTCCTTTAGAACTGCCAGGTGAATGTCATCTGGTCCTGCTAGTGTTTTCCACTCATTTTTTGCCTTGTCCTAAAACCTCTTCTGCTGACGCTTGAAGTCAAGATGTTTTCTCAGAGTTATACTCTGTAAAGAAGTAAACCTGTAAAAACAGTTCTAGTGTAGGAACATTGTTTGAGCACTTTCATCATGAGCGCCCTAATAATAAATAATTCAGCTTTTTTCTATGCGTTGTTTCCCAAGAGTGCTGTTCTTATCCCTCTAGAAGTCTCACCTGCTGGCTGGTTTCTTGCACCTAAAAGAAAATTATTACTAATTTCATGCTCTAAACAAATTGCTTCTAAAAGACTTGGGCCTGCTCTGCTTTATTTTTTTCTTTTGATTTGCTTGTATTTGTTTTTAAATTGAGTTATAAATTGCTTCCTCTTTCTGTAGGAGGGCTTTTTTACTTCTAATAGTTTCTTTGCCATCATACATATTTGAATATGTCACAACTTGTTCATTTCAACCACATAAACTTCATTTTTCTTCTTCTGGAGTCCTTTTTGATAGCTAGTATATGTTTCTACTGAGCCCCTGAATTGGCTCTTAGAAGAGTCTGAACGCTGCCTGCTATCATTTTATCTTTTAAAGAATAACAGAATAGTTGAGCTTCCAGACCATCCAGTTTGACCTCCCTGCTCAAAGCAGGGTCACCAAGAGCAGGTTGCTCAGAGCGAAGTCCTGTTAACTTCTCAGTATCTCCAGGACTGGAGACTCCACAGCCTCTCTAGACAACGTGTTCCAGCATTTGACCACCCTCACAGTAAAGAAGTTTTTTCTTACGTTGAAATGGACTTTCCTGTATTTCAGTTTGTGCCTGTTGCCTCTTGTCGTGTCACTGGACACCACTGATGAGACCATGGCTCCGCCTTCGCAGTTCCCTGCCCCCCCACCCTGTCAAGTATTTATACACATTGATAAGATTCCCTTGACTCTTCTCCAGACTAACCATTTCCAGCTCTCTCCGCCTGTCTTTCTATGACAGATGCTCCAGTCCCCTAACCAACTTAATGGCCTGGTCCTTTTTGTTTTCCACTAATTTCCTCATTTTATAGAGCTACCCTTCTGAAGCAAAACATCTTGGTAAACTAGATCTTACCAAGACAAGGCTGGCCTTTCAGCAACCCCCATGGGTCTCCATCAAGTCCTCATGGTGGTGGCAGCTACCTGCAGGAAGGGAACGTGGTTAAATGCTATGTGATGGGAAGTGCTAAGACTTTTTGGAAGGGAAGTGACACCTCACAAACTCTTGGGAGTTCTTTGAAGATGTTCTGGCACAAGCATATGGTGAAAGATGATCCTGTTTGTACAATGAATTGGGATTTCTGAAAAGCCTTGACAAAATCAGGTATCAAGGGCTGTTGAAGTAACTAAGCTGTTATGTGACAAGGGGAATGGCTCTCCTAGATTAATTAAAAAGAGTGAGGGAAAAACCTGGGAACAGATGATAAGTTTTCATGCTAGAGGAAGACTGGAAAATCAGCTGGTATCTGAATACACACGTTATTGCAGCAGAGGCCCACAGAGGCTATGCTACTGCTGGTATTACTGAAGTATTCATAAACAGCCTGGAAAGAGAATAAGAGTAGCTGCAACAAAGCTTGTTTCTGACACAAAATGATAAAAGGTGGTGATAGCTAAAGCTGATTGTCTAAAGAAGCAGAAGGATCCTGCAATACTAAGTGACTGAGCAGTAAAATAATTGACATGAGTCAATATTGATGAATGTAAAGTGCATTTAGGAAAAAGGAATCTTGGAATCTTAACTGTACGTGGATGACAACAGGGTTTAATTTACCTAGCACTCTGGAAAGATCTTGGAGTCCTGTCTGCAAATGTCAGATCGGTGCTATTCAGTAATGTTGAAGGGAAATAGAATGCTAAGAAATAGAATGCTAAGAATTTTTAGGAAAGAAATAGAAAATGGAACAGAAAAACTTCACTTTGTAAATCTGACTGCATCTTAAATACTATATGCAGTTTACAATAAGAGCACAGAAAGCTACAGCAAGGATGATTAAAAGTATCTAATTGTTTCTATGTGAAGTAAAAAGGAGTAGATAAGAGCTTTTCTCTTGGGAAATGCTAGGACTGGAAGCAGTAGGAGACTAGATGCCGTGCATAGTGTAAAGAAGGTGCTTGGGAATGATTACTCACTGTTGTGAGATGAGTTTTGGGGCACCTAAGAATGTGAGGCAAGAGACTTAAAAATGAGAAAAGGAATAATCTTTTCACAAAGTTGCATCATTAAATTGTGAAAGTCAGTGCCATGGTTCATTGTGCAGGCCAAATAACAAGGTAACAAGAAGGACAATATCCCTTTTGTTTTGGTTTTATTCACAGTTGTGTCACATTCCCATCAGAAATGACTGGGGCAGGAGGAACATCCTGGGGGAGAAGGGCTTGTGCCTTCGCAGCAGCCACAGCGAGGAGCCTCTCTGGGGCCCTGGGTGCGCAGGGAGGGAGCTGCAGCTCCTGGAGAGCTGCCAGCAGAAGGGAGCAGCCAGCCCAGGACTCAGGTGGTGGAAACAATCTCCCAGGGAGCAGAGGGGAATGTGCAAAGTCTGCGGCAACTCAAAGAGTGCTATCGAGTGATGTTAAGAAGTCTGAAGGAAAGGTCTGTTCAGTGAGAAGAAAGGGCTTGGAAGAATTAGTTATAAGACTACGTCATTTCTGTTCTACCTAACCGAATCCTTTGAAGTCTCTTATGCATGTGTATTTAAGCAGTTAGGTATTACAGTTTTTATTTTTAAAAACTCTGCTTGTTTTAAACTGGCATCTTGGTGAGAAGATACAGGCACAGCTGCCTTCAAGTTCTAGTTGACTCAGGATTAATCTCGTTGCAGGGCTAACAGCAGATGGTTGGTCCCATCCATAGGCCGTATTAAGCACAATGGCTCAGAAGTTTGGAAGTTTCCAAAATCCCCAGTTTGGGAAGTCACTAAACTGATGGTATGGTGTCTGCCACCGAGAGGTCTTGTGACCTCTCTGTACCACTCCTATTGCAAATGGAAAAGCCTCCTGGGAGTCTGGTGATAATTTGTCTCCCAATGGAAGATAACTTCTTAGTTGCCCTAGCTAGGCCCACGCTTTGTTAGCAACAAAGTGTGTGTCAACTGCCCAGAGGAAAATGTGGGATTGGCAGGGATTTTTTACCTTACAAATCCAGTCTTGACGATTATCTATTCATATTCACAATCTACTTCAAGCAGCATAGCAGCTGTCTTCAAACTAGAAAGCATAGGATTGAAAGGTTTTCAATAATAATTACTAATCTTAACAGCAATGTGAATCCAAGCAGCTGGAGTTTGCCAGGCTATAGTATCTGTGTCTGCATTCATACAGAACACACATTTTCCTAAATGATTTCTTTATTCTGTATCATTGTATGATCAGTCTTGATTTTGGACTGCTCAGAAAAATGGGAACTGACTGCACTTATGTCAGCCTCAATATCTAATAATATTGATAACTAAGATGTTATTTAAAAGCAGCAATGTTTACATTGCACAGAAGAACGTCTTACTACTACTGCTAAGCTATAGCTGGCTCACTTAAAGAAATGAGAAGGGGCAAGAGGTCTGACAGTCTTGTCAAGAGGATCTGTCTCAAACTGAAGTGACTATAAAAGAGGTTGCTCGAAGACTTGCTTGTGCCCAGTGGCAGGAACAGAACAGAACCTCCTAAGGTAGGACCCTTTCCTAGGTTGGAAAACGGTGCTTTAAAGAACACTTCCGCTTTCTAAAGGTAATAATTACTCACATGTATCTTGTGCAACAATTAGTAATGTTTTGAATTTGGATTGTATGTTTTGCAAAAGCTAATTGAACAATAAGCCTGATTATATTTTGTTGCACTCTCATGAACTTGTGCTCTAGGCAGCAGCTCTTGTTGATGCATTTAGTAAATCAGGTCCACTGAGTCACTGAATCCTAGCCAAGATTTCATTTTCAGGTGAAGAGCAGTGTACTGTCATTATACTGTTAAAATAGCTTTCTAAAGGGAGTAATCTATGTGTACATCCGCATACATGTGAATATACAGCAGTGACAAAGGAATCTGAATTATTGGCATCTGTTCTCCTCTATTCAGTGATCATGCTCCCTGCTTCCTCTGCTATTGTAAACTGCAAATTTAAAAAAAAAATATCTAACCTTTTAATACCTACTTAAATACACCATCTAACTAGGTGGTCTGAGAGCATGGCCAAACTCACACAACATACATATTGCCAGGCACAATTCTTTGTAGTTAAATCTTTCTCATTGGTTTTCTTTAAAGCCAAAATGGAAGAAAATTACCCCATTAGGGTTGATCCAAGGTCAGTGCATAAAGGGAAAGCCAGAGACTATGAGTTCTGCCAGCTTAGTGGGGAGACAAGACAGAGTCTCTTTTTTGAGCTCCATAAATGTTCCTTTTTTTTTTTTTTTTCATACTGCTCCCACCGTAAGCAATGTGATTCATTGCCCCAGAAAAAGGAATATTTATCTTATGGCAATTGTTTTCCATAGAGTTAATTTGCAGTATTGTAAGTGGAACTTTCTTTTTGAGGAAGATCCAATGTCCACAAATTCCCATGCCAGCTAACAACTGCTAGATGTCTGAACTAAAAATGACTTAACAAATTATTTATTAAAATAAGCCAAGTTGTTTACACTGGCCAAGGGGGATATGGAAGGGCTGTATTGGTCAGACTTCTCAGGCTATTATGCAAGTTAATAAATCTCTGGTCTCTCTATAATTAACTCATTAATATTAGTCTTGATGGTACAGTGGGGGGTGTGTAATAAAGCACCAATTGCAAGCACATTTCTGTCTCCTGTGGGAGATGTTACTGGCTATTGACATGACACAACAGTAAATACTAGGGTTCTACTCAATTTTCATTCATTTTGACTCAGCCTTCTTAAGGCAGTGCGTATGTGGGAGTTTCAGAAACTATTTTGTTTCTGTTAAAATAGTTCTACTTCCTGAAGGTCAAAAAGAGATCTGTTCAGGTGAAAGGATTCTGCTCTGAATTGTTGCTGGAAGATATTTTGCTTTACAACAAACCCTTCCTACATCACACATGCAGAGTAATTCCTGGTTATCCATGGGTAACAGAAGTCCCTGAAGCTGCTATTAAAATTACATTAAAATTAAATTAAAAATTAATAATACGTTGCACCCTTCGGTAGCTGGCATAGAGTTAATTTTCTTCATTTTGGATTTGTGCTGAAAACAGTGTTGATAATATAGAGATGTGTTAGTTACTGCTGAGCAGTGGTTACACAGCGTCAAGGCCTTTTCTGCTTCTCACCCTGCCCTGCCAGCAAGCAGGCTGGGGGTGCACAAGGAGTTGGAAGGGGACACAGCTGGGACAGCTGACCCCAACTGACCGAAGGGATATCCTAGACCATATCACATCATGCTCAGCAATAAAAAATGGGTGGAAGTCTGCCAAGGCTGCCGTCACTCGGGGACTGGCTGGGCATCGGTCAGTTGGTGGTGAGCAGTTGTTTTTCTTGCATCAATTGTTTTTTCTTGGGTTTGGTTCGTTTTTTTCCCCTTCCTTTGTTGTTTTTTTCCCCCATCCTTTTTTTAAATATTAAACTGTCTTTATCTCAACCCATGAATTTTCTCACTTTTACCCTTCCAATTCTCTGCCCCATCCCACTGGGTGGGGCGGGTGAGCAAGCGGCTGTGTGGAGCTGAGCTGCAGGCCAGGGTGAAAGCATGACACCTTCCTAACATCTTTGGCTTAGGACTAGCAAATTAAAAGACCATGATGTGAAATAATCCGACTTTTCTAATCACTGTTAATTTACAGTTGTTTACATGCCATTTTATGCCTTCTGCCTTTGAGAAGCAATACCTCTCTCTGTAGTGTCACTATGGTACCACATCTCTAATTATAAATACTACTAGGGCTATTGTCAGCCATGGAGGTATATCATTCTAATGGCAGATGGATAACTGGCTGTTTAGACTGCAAACGTAAAATATGTCCTGAGATCAAGGATCAGTGGCAGCTGGGCTAGCACAATAATTACAGAAGATTAGAAAAATTTCAAGTTATGAGAAATCTAACTTGAAAACAGAGTGAGAAGGAAGTTTGTTACAGTTACATGTCCTAGGAAGTCATCTCTAGCCCCTAAACCAAGAGGTTTCGTGTAGCTCGCACACCTCAAAGCTAGCCCTTGCAGAGTGAGCTTACCTGGCAACATTATTGTAGCATATGATTACCCCACAACCCTTTGCAGCATGCCATTACTTGTTCACCTGTCTAGCATAACAACAACACTGGTGCTTTAAATACCCACAATAACTCCAGGAGTCAAAACCTGTGCTGCTGCAAGCTCTCGCCTCCCTTAGACTTAAGATCCCAAGTGTTTTGTCTCCTGCCATCCCTAGGAAGGAGCTTTTCAACCCATCGTGCCACCTGTAGCCCCAGAGAGAAGATGTGCAGTGAGCCATATGAGACCACAAATGTAACAGGAGAGTGCACCTTGCTTTGAGACTGTGTATTTATTGTGACAAAGTAGTATCAAAATGGAAATACGGTGTCCAGGTAAAGTTACGAAAACTGAAAAATGTCTTTCTGACCAGGTACAAAATGAGAAAGGCCTTCTCTGGTGCCATGTGCAATATTAAGAAAAAGGCCTCATCAGATAAATCCTAATGGAAAAAAAAGGGTTACTCAGCACCAGCACAGCCTCTGTCACAGTACTGCTACGATGACCATCTCAGTCAGGGGTGGGTGGCCTGAGCCCTCCTGAAAGCAGAAGCAGTGGAAATGAAGGCGATCCACCCAGCAGGGAGAAAGAGGAGCGATGGCTCTTTCTGAGGGACAGCCACCACAAAGGCTCCCTGAGCAGGAGGTTTAACAGCCCCTTTGTGAGCTTTTTCAGGTTTCCTTCCTGATCTGCTGCTTCCTGCTTCCAGAACACCCTCTTTTGCTCTGCCTAGATGGCCAGTTCTCCTCCTGATGGTGGACCGTGGCCTTGGTTGTGCTTTTCTTATTCAGAATGTTCCCTAAAGCACAGCTGTTGTTGCTGATACTCTTCTTGTAAACATGCCATTCCCATCCCTGCTGCTCTGCTGCTAATAATGGTTGGAAAGAAAGTGCAACCTAAAATAGTATTATATTTAAAGCTTTCTCTACTTCATTTTCTCCTACTCACAATAGAGTTGGTCCACTGTACACTCCCAGAAATGCATCATCATTGATAACTTCCAGGTATTTGTTCTTGTGCAGATAGCTGCAGAAACAAACAAAACGCAGTGATTTGGAAATAGTTATCCATAGGTTAAAGAAGCAGCTCTTCAGTTTACTTGCCTAAACAGATTTACAAAAGCAATAGGTGTAAGGGCCATCCCATCCCAACAACATATTGAAGCATAATCAGTTACTTCATTTTCTGTGTACCCAAGGAACAAAATACAGGTTTGCCATTTTGAAAACAAATTAAATTACTCAACAAATAATAAATAAATAAATTAGCAAAATAAATTAGCTTTGCTCCAAATTCTTTTTCTCTCTCTGTCATACATATAAAGACACATGCATACACACTTTATCTTCAGGTAAGTATGTGTGAGGATGAGGTGAAATAGATTGTTTTGCTTTCATCAGAATGAGGTATGGGGAATTACATGATACTTACAGAAACACATCATGAACAAACATAAAAACAATTCCCTCCTTGTTTGACACAAGTTTTAAATGCTTTAAAATCTCCATAGCCAAGTGGAGGCTCCCATGTATACATCAACAGTTAAGAATGAAGTTTTGTTATAAGAAGAGCAAGAGCAGGAGTGAGAAGGAGGACAAATCTGAAGGAAGAAATAATATAAAACTTATGTAAAAAATTCTAAAGTCTTGGGAAAACCTTGAACAATTTTCTGAGTAGCCAACACTCTCCTGAAATATGAAATGCTGCAAATTTCTCCTGTCATTACATGACTGATGTAATCAAGGCCCAACATCTAAGAAAGCGTGGATCCAGGAAGTGGGGAATTTACAGAGCTGAGTTAAAGGTTCATGATTAAAGATGGGCAATGCAAGGCTGCTGAACACTCGAAAAATCAACATAACCCAAGTGGAACAATCAATGTTAAATTCAGTTCTGTGTTTTTAGATTTAAAAGTGACTGATCTAGAATGAATCTTGATCTTTTTTTGGCAGGATTCCTGTTTACCATCGTCTGAAACTGTCGTTTGAGAAATTTATAAATACAAGAATTATTATTGCAGGTAATTCAGTCAAGTTCCACATTGCTTTAGAGAGGCTATGCATTTCTGTCTGTTCTCAATGGCCTAATAGAATTTATGGGTTTTGTGGACAGACTTGGGAGAAATAATTGGCTTCACTAGCTCCACAATTGCAGGTGTACAAAGAGAAAGCATAAATTAAAAAACCTGCAGGAGCAGCAGAAGCACAGGCATCCTGCTTTTCTGCTGGGGTCACAGTGGACGTATGGCACTGCACTCTGTGAAGACCAGATGTACACAGAACGTGATGAGATGGAAAAATAAGTGTTATTTTTATGCATACAGTGCCAGCTTGTGTGTATTAATTGGGTATATTTGACATAGATATAGATTAAAAATGTGGTTTTGGAACAATTGTCCAGCTAGAAAGAACTTCACAAAACACAACAGGCACGTTCATTTCCTTGACAAGGTGGTTCCTCCTGGTTAGCCAGGAGGGAGGAGGACAGCAGTTTTAAGCAGCTAGATCTCCTAAACACACACACAGCAATATGCTGAATTAGCTGAGCAATGAAAGGAGACTGAAGCTTAGGTTGCAATATATACATACATACATGTGTGTGTGTGTGTATGTATACGTGGATACTACTGTGATAATTCTTTCCCTAAGCCAGCAATTAAACCCGAGGTGGTGTTTTTACTTAGTTCAATCAACTTCTGTCACGATGTTTACAAGAGAAACAGCTTGCAGGCATCAAACCTAGTCATGCTTTTTAATTTAATTTAGATGAATTGAAATCTTGTGATGGGATTAAGAATCATTTACCAAATACTGTAGTCCCTGGAGGAGGATGGAGGAGCATCTAGCTCTCTTGGCTGAGGGACACTACATAAGCAAGGAGACAAAACAGTCCAAGCATTTCGTTTCTGTACTATGATGAGAAAGGACCTCTGAGAGAAGTTTGAACCAAGGCAGCAAAGGGGATGGTACAGCTGCAGGACTGTGCTTCGGGGCAGAAATGCAATGCAACCCATTAAGGGGGAGAACACATAAAATTGCCAAGGAAAGTTGTTAAGGGGAATGTATGTTCCCCTTGATGAAATAATGGCAAAATAATCAACGCTATAAAGGCCTTGAAGGACCATGGTGCCTAGGCAGAAGAGGCTGGTAGCACCTGCGACTATCCCATTTATAAATTTTACCCATTTTCTGCACAGTGGAAAAGGTAAAGTCTAATGGCCCCAGTAGCAAACCACAGATTAAAGCATGAGGCTGCAGTCTAGGAGCAGCAACAGGGTCCACAGACTGCAATGTCATAGGTATCTCAGGTCCAGCAGGAGCAGGAAGAGGAACTCATAGTGACATAAGTATGACAACAGTGGGTGACCCAAGCCCAACAACTACAAGCATCAGGATTGCTTGACATTTCACCAACAAGGGCACAGGGCTGGTGGAGGCCTTGTAATGCAAGAATGAAGAAAAAGAATATGACTGCAGATAATGACCATAAAGCATTGCTCAAGAGAAGATGATGTCGTCCTCAGTCCAACTAAAGGACAGAAACTTCACAAGGACTGCAGACAGACTGCCTTATGGAGGTCATGTTTCACAGGGTAGATAAAAGCAGAGAAAATTCCCAGGGATGAGACCAGCAGCAAAAGAGAGAAAAAGGAGAAAACCAACAATATTGCCCAAGTGAAGCCAGGTGACATTGCTCAGAATTTAAACATAATTATCTTAAAAAGAGGAATTTCATAAAATTTCAGAGTGCAGTTGGCACAGAAATGATAAGATGCCCAGACCAGACCTATTAAAGACATTAAATGAAATGAAAGGAGAAAGAATTTGATACTACTGATGCAGGCAGTAATACGTCAAGCAGAGAGGGATGTTTGGTACTCTGTTATAAACATTTTAAAGCTAGCTTGTGATGTAGCTAGGAAGGCAAAAAATACGATAGAAAGGTTGTCACAACAGATTTCAGAGGGCATCCATGAAGCTGTTGTGAGCTGTGCCCATTGTGCCAGTTAGTGGCAAAGATACAAAGGTCAAACCTTTCTTAGTTGTAAGTTCTGTAACAAAAACACCGTTTGAGGTGGTGGCTGTGGAGATAATTGAATTGCCTCAGAAAAGTGGCAGAAGGCCACTATTTTATCTTTGTGTCAGAAGAATCTTTCAAGTTCAGATAGCTGAACTGGGGTTTAGCTGCAAAAATAATAAAGTCAGAGGAATTGTTTCTTGGTGTGGAAAAAAATCAAGTCAAGATTCTAATCCTGTCCTGGTTGAAGTCATTGGCAAATTTTCCGTAACATTCACTGGATATAAGCTTATATTGATCACCATAGTGAGAAATGAGAAGTAAAAGCACTTCAACTGGGTTACACAACACAAAGTCTTAGGAAGCCAAGCCAGAGAAACACTTCTGGGATGTCGTTCATTAGACATTACCCATGCCTAAAGCCTTGTTTCTTACAGAGGAAAATGGCTTACTTCATCTTCTCAGCTATTGTTGTTTGAAATAAGCTTTCTTTCTTTAGAAATATATGGCATTCTAGTATCATCTGACTGCAAATTGAATACAAAAAATAAACCAGAGCAAGAGCTAAGAATTAATCCAAGATTTCAAAATCTAGGTTGTAGTTTTGAAGGACACAAAAACCTGCCTGACCTAATAAAACCTGTCTGCTTTAGTAACTAGACATTATTATACAACCAGATAATTGCTTGTCCAATTTTGAAATATTTTCCCCTGATATTTGAACACCATGGTGAGTGATAAACCTGAAATATAATAGTTTACATATGCGATAAAAATCTTCAAACTTAGAAATAGAGACAGGCAGCTAGAGGCTTTCGGGAAGTTCATAACCATGTGTTACCAAGGAGGGGCTGCAGTATTAGCCGCCAGTTTTCACATAGATGAGTCAGGCCCATCAGAATGTACAATTTCCTGATGCTAATTGATTTCAGTTATTTAAGCCTTTTATTTTCATAGGTACCTCTTTTAAATGGAAAGAATAAGACTTTGGTAAATATTAATTTGACAAAGAAAGTGTATGTAGAGCTAGTATAGCTCCTTCTGAGAATGCATTTAATCCTGTTGTTACTGATAGCTAAATGGTATAGAATGTCATTTAAATACACTGCAGAAAAGAAAACCACAACGGGGTACCCACGTGTCTAAACAAATGTTGGAAGTCTTAGAAATCACATGGGTGAAGTGGAATATCTATCCTCAGTGGGGACACTAGAATAATAGTCATTTTGGAAAGTTGGTGGAAGGCAATCAGACAGACATGAATACCGCAGCGCAAAGTATGCAGGAAATCTGGAGTAGGAAATGCTGAATCTGAAGTAGGGTGTGCTGATGGTTTCATAGTGCTGTAAGTAACAGAAGGCTTTTTTTTTTTTTTCTTTTTTTAATCAAATCGTATCAGTAAGCTAACTATGCCAGTGACTAATACAGAGTCTTTATGGACTCAAGATCCAGGGTTAAGTGGGAAAAAATAATGCATTAAGTTTTAGCCCCACCAGAAAACAACATGACTGCAGTATGCTGAGCAGGATCTTCTGAGGACATGAACCAGTAATAGAGCATTTCAACTGCTTTGTAAAACAAGACAATGTCACGTCAGGGCATGGCAGAGATACTGAGTCTTCAGACATTATCAATGCATGCTTCATAAAGCAAGAGGTTAGAGAGCCCGCATGAGAAAAAGCAACTTTTGATTTCAGCTTTAGTGGAATGCATGCTCCGTTTCATAAATGTTACAGTCTAAAGTCTGTTTTATAAGAGCAACCACCGGGTACTGAAATTCAGCAACTCTGTAGGACCAAAAAAGCCAAAGAACACACCACAGCTATAGTCTCCAAAAAGGAGAAATACATATATGAGAAAAAACTTTCTTAAAAATAAACAAAAGTATGAAAGTTAAATTACTGAGGGCATTCTGGGAGCTCTTTAGGGACACCATTTTGGAGATACAGAGCAAACGTGAAAAGCATGAGATAGCAAAAAAAAAAAGCAAAATCCTGAATACTCAAAATATTAAAAATCTTCAACTGAGATGAAAAACTGAAAAATGCGGAAAGGTCTGAAGGTATTTTTACAAAATATTTTCTTTTTACCAAAAGCATATTTTCTTCTGGGGGTAAAGGATATGAATGAAAAATGCTGACCAGCTGCTTCAACTAACTAACATAGAATTCCACATACTTTTCTTTTTTCAGTGTAAAAGATTTGTATTTCTCTTTTTCCATAGTCCAAGGTCATTCATGCCATCCTCCATATTGTAGCTGGACACACCTTTCTTGGTGTTTTTTTTAAGCTGGATTATTTCACTGATAAGGTTTTACTGCAGTCCCACAACCAATTTTATGAGCACTGGGAGTGATGGAATAAGAATGAACAGCCAGATTAGGGAAAAAGAGAAGTTTTGCAAAATTTTCTTCCAAAGGATCACTTAGTTAAAAACCAAGTAAAGTTACTGAAGTTTCTAGTTGGAATATCTCACTGGCTTATGGAATGATGTATTATTTGATAGTATCTGCTTGCTTTCTTTTGGCTTCTGATTTTAAAATAAGGCAGCAGAGCTTAACAAACAAGCAGAAAAATAATATGTTGACCACACATTTAAATATCACCACTATAGTATTAAATGGGCTCTGGACATGTAACATGTTAATGCATCTATGCATCCTGTTGGATTATGAAATGAAGGTTAAAGAAAGGGAAAAGAGATGCATTGGTAAATGAGCAGTATTAAGGATTCATCATATGTCTTTTCTACACCATTGTTTATCTTGACTCTGAGCTAAGCCAAGCATTATAAGTGATTCCTGAGAGTGTACACCAAAGTAAATATATTCTTTTGGAGTTTATTTTTGTAATTAGATTTTGAGATTGCACACTTTCCATTTCAGTAATTTAGACAGCTCTGTAAAATCTCATCACAAATATATTTTGCCATTCACTAGAAATATGTTTTAAAAAATCTTTCCTCACCAATTTCCTTACAGAAATAAACACCGGTGCAGCAGCACTGCTTTGCAGAAGTCTGCAGGAGCGATGCCATTCATGGACCTTAATGATGGGAGGGATTCAAGTTTCAGATGAACGCTGTTCAGTAAAAGCATCATTCGGCCCTTCCTTCCTGGTTCTTTACTTCCCTGCCTTTATAAAACATATACAGCGATACTGTGGTTTGCTATAAAACACAGATCCTTGTTGGATGACAAGATTTATTAGGTAGTGCCATAATTCAGTGTGATAACAGAAACCATTTATGCACGGTTCCACACCTATATCTGCATTGATTGTTTTGACCACCTTGAATTACATAGGTCTTTTAATACTGCAAGAGTGGTAGAAAGGCATACTGCATGGTAGAAGGTAGCCTCCAAGATTCCCAAAATGTCTTCTGATTTATGGATGGAACATGGAGTCTTTGAATGATTTGTCAAAAATGGAATTATTGCTTTTGATTGTTTTCCTTTTTTACTTGTTTTCCTCCTTGAGGTCATAATTCAAAACCCAGTAAAATTTCTTTCCCTCACTCTTTTTCTCTTAGTTTCTTGTTGCTCCCAGTTTCATCAAGTCCAAAGGACCTTGGATCAGACCCAGAGGAAAACAGGTACTTTCTTTGCTGTACAGTGGTAGATAAACAGGAGTTCAAATTAGAAATGTCAGAATACAGAAAAAGAAATATTTGCCTTTTGCATTAACTTAATGCTGCTGCTAGAAACAACAAATCTCCAAGCTTGCACTTAGCAAAATTATACCTTATCTTGGTATATGGTAACCAAAATACTTCAGAAAATTAGTTTAGAAATTTCAGTGTAGTTTATCAAACAGATGAAGGCTTTACCACTGATATTCAGCTCCCTAGTTTGCCTTGTAAATCTGGAGTAGTGCTTTGCTCCAAGTAAATGTCATATGATTTAATTAGGAGAAAACTGTTTGTTGTAATAAACCATTTTTACTGCTGGTAGATAAAGCCCTGAAAGTAAGCCTGGGTTTAGTTCTTTTTTTAATTATTATTTTTAATTTGCTTAACTAGTTCATCATAGCCAGTCTCTGGAAAGATTGACTTAGAATCATAGAATATCTCAAGTTGGAAGGGACCCATAAGGATCATCAAGTCCAACTCCCTGCTCCTCGCAGGACTACCTAAAACTAAACCATATGACTAAGAGCGTTGTACAGACACTCCTTGAACTCTGACAGGCTTGGTGCCATGACCACATCCCTGGGGAGCCTGTTCCAGTGACCGACCACCCTCTCAGTGAAGAACCTTCTCTTAATGTCCAATCTGAACTTCCCCTGAGCAGCTTCATTCCATTTCCTTGTGTCCTATCACTGGTCACCAGAGAGAGGAGATCAGCCCCTCCTCCTCCACTGCCCCCCTTGAGGAAGCTGTAGACTGCAATGAGGTCACCCTTCAGCCTTCTCTTCTCCAAACTGAACAAGCCAAGGGATCTCAGCTGCTCCTCTTAAGTCTTGCCCTCCAGACCTTTCACCATCTTGGTCGCCCTCCTCTCGACACGCTCTCATAGTTTGATGTCCTTCTATTGAGGTGCCCAAAACTGCACACAGTACTTGAGGTGGGGCCGCACCAGTGCAGTGCAGAGTGGGACAATCACCTCCTTCGACTGGCTAGCTAGGCTGTGCTGGATGCACTGCAGGACATGGTTGGCCCTTTAGGCTGCCAGGGCACACTGTTGACTCCTAATCAACTTGCCATCAACCCAGACCCCCGGATCTCCTTCCATGGGGCTTCTCTCCAGGCTTTCATCCTCCAATTTGTATGTAAAATCAGGATTACCCTGTCCCAGGTGGAGAATCTGGCACTTGCTCTTGTTAAATTTCATACGGCTGGTGATTGCCCAGGTCTTGAGTCTATCCAGATCTCTCTGTACGGCCCTCTGCCCTCGAGGTCTTATTGAAATATCCTTAAAGAATACTAATTATAAAACTTTTTCTGAAAGTAAGCAAGCAGTATCTGCAGAACTTAGTATGTGTTTTCTGCTTCTCTACTTCCACCCAGTCCAATAAAGCAGATGTTTTGGACTCCAGATCTTCTAAAACTACATTTTCACTTGATTCTTTAAGAATCAGGAAAATTCCAAAGAGGCCAGAAGCAATAGCACTTGCACACTATCAGAGAAGCAAAAAGAATAATTCCTACAAAATCATCTTCAACCTGTGTTTCATCAAAATGTAAGAAATGGAAGAGCCAACACAGTTCAGATATTGGCTAAGGCTTAGAAAGGTTTTAAGTATTGCATATACAGCTTAGAGGGATTCAGTCAAGACACTGGGTTCATTTTGCCTTATTTTATACCTTGCGATTTCTATGGGCACTACTACAAACACTACGTCATCATGAAAAACTTTCTTTCTCATATGGAAGTTCAAAGTAACTGAACTAATGTGAGTAAAATAAGACCTATCCCAGATCTTCAGTTTAACTCAAATCTTTTAAAAATTTATGACGTTTAGCTAGCTCTTAAGGGAAAAAAGGCAGTTTGGAAAGATTAAGACCACGTGAAGGATGCTCTTACAGAATTCAAGCCCAATTTAAAATAATGAAAATAATCATACCTGTCCTCATGCCTCTCTGGTTAATTTAAGAGCTCATGATGAAAAAAAATCTCTTTACTCATGAGATTGCCAGCCAGACTCTTTAGTCAAGCCTCTGTACGGCCAGAGTAAGCTCTGCCAAAGTGAATGGAGCCTCTGGAATTGAGATTTGTTCTGTGTTAATGATTGAGGCATATGATTTGGGGTATGGTGTAAAAAGGATATTCACTCACTAAGTATTAGTTTTCCAGAAACTATAATAAAAAGGTGAAGGGAAAGCTGAAATGGTTGTTTCATGCTTTTGAGATGCCCATCTCTCATTTCTAGTGCAAGTGACTGGTTCCTCTGAATTGCTTCCAACACCTCACACCACTCTCTTTTTTGCAGATAAGAGATTTCTGTGAAAGAGCTGCTACCATTATCAGTGCTACACTTACTAAAATAAACTGTCTTGTAAGTAAAACAGCATAATTATCTTCCAAATTGTCTTAGAAATGTTACTGATCAAAAGAAATCTTATTGTAGCTTCAAACCAAAACAAAATTCACACTGGAATTACCTGCCATGATTTTATTTCTGAGCTATAAATATAAACACCAAATGAAAGCACACTGCAAAAGACATTAAACACCCATATTTTTACTGCTGGCTGAAATTAATATCCTCTCTTTGCTCCTTAAAAATAATTAGAATAAGATACGTATTTGAGAACCTCCAACAAGCATAGAGTATTTATTATACAAATTTTTTTCTGAAAGAAGAGAATGATCTGCTACTTACATAGCATCCAGATTTGTCCCATTAAAAGCATGGCCTTGGATGCTGGTAAAGCCATTATTGTAGAGTTTGCTGCAAGCAAAAAAAAAAAAAATTGTGTATTTTGGGTTGCTTCAATACCTGAATACTTAACATCTTATGTATCATTTTTCTTGGCAACAACACATTTATGGATGGGTTAATTTTAATCTCTTGAAGAAGCAGCAGTTATAGTGCAAGGGCAAACAAATGCCCAGCAGCATTCTTGAGTGCAGCCGAATCAAGAATACCATGTGGCAGGTGTGCCATCTTTTACTTCTTTTTACAGCAAAGGTAGAACTAGACTAAAACACTTTGCTATAACTTTCCCACCCTCAAATTAAAAACAAGTAAACAAAATTCTGCTAGGACTGATTACAGAAGGCTAAAGGAACTGATACCTAGCAAAACAGGTATGATTTTACTATCAGGCCTGCCTGAATTTTTTGAATTCATTCTTTTCTCCCTTAGAGTTTTTTTAGAACTTCTTTAGAATTCATTCTTTTGCATTCTAGTGCTCTTCCCCCTAGTTCCGATCATAACTCATTACAGTCCTTTTCACTCCCCTCAACCCTTTCTTGTGTCTCGCATTGAGTATGACTTTCATAACTGAACTTTATTTAACAATTTTCCTTCAAATATGACTCTTCTGGCATTTGCCACCCATTAGTTTTCATGGTATGTGCCACTTAACGTTGCAAAAAAGTTAGACGCAGCTCTAATCATGCTGTAGCTTTACAGAAGGAAATCTCTGCAAACTTTTCCCTTTGATTTTCTCCAATAACCATTCACTGGCATTAGGGTCATACAAAAGCAAAACCACTTTGGTCAAGTCAGTTTAAAGAAAAGCAGCAGGCCTGATTCAAAGCACTGTCAAAGTAAAGGATTAATGCAAACTAGATCATGGATACTACCTGTCTGTGGTGTTTCTCTGTTACAAACTACTGGAGAATAGGACAGGGATTTTTTTTTTTAAATATTTTACCATATGCTCGAGAGAAGTAATTGCCTTGTGACTTAAACTGGAAGAACTTACAGAGTTAGAGATTCATTACAAAGCCCATGGAAAGCATTTGCAGGCACTGAAGTCATGAAAGGATTATCTGCAATTTCGCTGAAAAAGGAGACAAAACATCACAATCAAACATCTGCCCAACAGAGCTTCTCCAGAACAGTTTTATGGTTAATTGTTCTCTGCCTTGATGATAAATAAAAGTGTAGAATAACCTGTTTAGTTATATCTAAGGCCAGAAGATACCTGTGGGATGATGAAGAATCGAGCATGTTCCAGCACCCAGGAAGTGCGCTTGTGAAGTAGCTGGGTTTTACCCAGCTGCACCAGCCCGTGTAATTATAGCGGTTAACAGCACAGACAGGTCCCTTGTCTCATAAGCCAGAGAATTATTGAAGTAAGTAATGCTGCAGTGTCGACTGAGCCAGCCCAAGTGACTTTAGAGCTGAGATCCTGCTCTCTAGCTAAGCTCAGGTAAGGCATCAGATAATACATTATTCAGGACAGAGGCATTTCACTTTACAGAACTGCATCTAGCACAAGTGAAATAACTTACTATGTGATCTAACTTAACGATTCTTCTCAACTCTTGTCCAAATGAGTCTTTCACTATCTGTCATTTCTAAAATACTTTTTCAGTCTCACTCTGCAGTCTTAATAAATACTATGTAGCTTCAGACCAAAACTCTGTTGTAACAAAAGGGAGAAAGAAAAACTAGAGAGATTTACTATGACTAAACTGGAGAAAGGAGAGAGGAAAAAGCTGGTAGAAATAAAGGGCAGAGCAAAGCATCTGATTATCCTTTTTCTGCTTTTTCCTGAATCAGAGTCTGGAAACCAAAGTATTCTGCAAATTTTTGTTTTCTTCAGCTTGTGGATTAGATGTGGTCTAGTAAAGCCAGACCATAACGTCCATGGGCCGGCGAAGTCCTAAAAATTGCCCACGTGAAAGGAACAATTTTGTTCCTTTTCTGTGCTATATACGTGCTAACACTGAACTGTACTACAACCATTTTCATTCCAAGTATTTTTCACCAATAGGTGGTTTGCATCACAAGTTATTTTGGTTTGACATTTTTCAGATTGGTTCACTTTTCTAAACAAATGTTTACTCGTAAGTTGCTTGACCTCAAAGGCCAATAGTGATACAATGAATGCTTTTTCCCCAGCTATACCTTATTCATCATGTAGAAATGTATTATTCTTCAAGAGCACATTTTTTTTCTTGATGAAAGAAACAAAAAGGCTACCTTTCATTGAATAGCAATGTTTAGAAATACCTCCCTTGAAAGGACAGGTCTACTCTTTAAAAAGTCTTTAGCATATAAGACCCATGTTTATTTTTTGTAACTGATCATTATAAAAAATTTTCAAGGTAGAAGGAAAATAATGTTTTGCTATCTGCCACTTAGAAAGTCACTGAGTTGGTTGGAAGCAAGGACACAGATGCTTCTGTTTCATCTAGCCTATTTAATTCTTGGTTCTCTTGACTTAGTAAGTGTAGTGTTTAATTTACAGTCTAGTAGAGCTTAATCTAAGCTAAAGCCCTTTTGGTCTTTGAGGAACTCCTTAATAGCTCTTAAGATGTAGGTGTATCCCACTCAGGTTTCAATCTCCAACACTTACAGCCAAGGCAAACATAGCAGCTCCAGGTTATGGAGCGTGAGTTAGCACAAGACTTACCTCTAGTCTCTGAAGATCCTTGGGAGGGAAGTTTTCATTGCTTACTACAGGTCTAGACTCTTTATCAAAACAACCAGCATTTCTACATTGCCCTGAGGTTTGCGTTGCCAATAGCAGACTGTGAATGCAGTGAGGACTGACCATTCTTGACTAAGAACGCCCCTTAGCAGCACTGAAGCAATGCCTGGTGTAGACCATCAGTCACGTCTTTGCAAGTCACCTTCTAGCATAATACTTCTCATTTTTACTAGCCTTTTACCTAGCCCATCCAGCAGTCATGCCTCTTCCAGCTGAACACTGCTTCAATATAAGATTGCTAACTCCTCTCTAGGACTAAGTAGCAACCAAAATACTTTTACCTTGTGTCAGCCTGCAAGTCTCCATCTGAGTTGCTCTTCCCCCTTGGCTTGATTACAATGCAGAATTTGAACTTAAATTGCAGGTTAGAGCACAAAGATGGATGTCATCTTTGCTTTATGAATACCAAAAAACACTTGCTTTTTTTACAGCAGAACTCTTTGTTTCTGAAATACCTATAAGGATAATAGTGGGAGACACCACCCCCATTTGTGTTCCCATTCTCTTTCTCCAAGAAATTGTTCTGAAATTTGCTTCAAGCCATGTTAAAAAAAAAAGGGGGGGCAGGTGTCTTTAAATCAATTAAAGTAAATGGGTTTTAAGGTGTGAGAAAGGAAGAAGGTCTTAGTGTTATGTAGGAGTGCCTCATGTGAACAAACCCAACCAAATTAGCAAAGCTTACTAGTAGGAAAATTCTTTCCAGCTGAGGACTTGAGTTAGCAAGAGATGGCTCCACCTAAGGAGTCTAGCTTAAAAGTGGGCAATTGTCAGTCCTGGTGCTTTGGTCCTTCAGTGGGACTATAGATTTGTGCTTGAAATGTGGCTCTACAAGTAAGTTTGGGCAAGGGCATTTAGGCAAAGTGTGTGTTCACAGAAGCTTATGCTGTCGATCTAAAAGAGCATGCATCTCATTCAACTACTATGAAAAAGGGGTGAGTGACAGAAGAGAGATGGGTAGTCATCTTTCTTAAAGATATATTGTGCCAGCCTGAGCTGACCTCAGTACTAAGGCTGTCATGAAACCAAGGTGCTCCTGGTCTAGTGACTTAAAAGCTCTGCTTTATTTCTCAGCTTTGGTGATTTGCTTTTTAAGATCCTCTTCTGTTTTCTTTAATAAAACATTAATTGTATGAAGCAACATATTTTAGATAAAATAAGTCACCAAAATCTTCCTAAAAATGTGAGCTCAGCCAACACTGAGCTTTTTAAAGGTGCAATGATAAACAACTGCTCTCAAGATTGTCCAGTTCTCCTGCTCTTGAGTCTTCCGTGCTTAGGGTGAGGTCAGAAGAAAGAAGGCAGCCAATGGAGGTTATTATTCAACAATATAGGAGCTTAATGAAGAATAGTATCAGAAAATGTGCAATGTGAGCTCACCATGCCAGCACAAATTTGTTAGAAGAATGTTGACAGGATGACTTCACGTTAGCAGGCTGTATGTCAGATCAGGTCCTGTGTGTCACACTATTCTGCCTTCAGACTAATTCAGGTATTGTGCAGCCATTACAAAAACAAAATAAAAGCAAAAGGCCCGTAGAAGTTGTGTCTCATGTGGTTTGGCTAATTCAAGAGAAATGCACTTGTGTGTTCATGTCTCTCATACAGGTCAAATGTATAGTGCTAGGTGACCTGGCATTTTCCAGATTTGGTACTAATTGTCATTGAAATATAGCTTGAGGAAAAGTGCTTTGTCAGACTTATTTGATATTTTTCTCCAAAACAGAAACCTTCACTATAGGTTTTCTTGGGATTTGAGGATGGCAGTATTCTAACCAGCTGTGAGGACAGATACTTACAGTAAAAAGTTCACATCAGATGAGTAGATCTTGGTGAGGTCTGGAAATGCTTTGAGTCCAGTATTAAAAATACCACTGAGAGAGAGAAGAAACAGAAAGAATTACATGTGCTGGACTACTAAACAACAACAAACAATGTATTTAAAGCATTCAACAGTGCTATAGTGTAAAGAGCCATCTGTGAGGCTTAAGTGCCAACTTGTTACAGGTGCTAAATACTTACAGGTATTTCAAAAGTGGAAGGTTCTTAAAGGCATCTGGATCTATGTAATCCAAGTTTCTAAGATTTCGAATTTCACTGTAAAAAAGGGAGGAACATTACCACATTGATCATTAATATTTAATTATTTATCATAAGAGAAATCAGCAATGTTAAAATGACATTTCAGGGACCTAATTCCTACAATGAGCTTTGGTACTGGCCAGCACTAGCTCAAGACCACTATGCCTTCGGAGCAATCTTACAATGATGAATTATCATCTGGATAGATGCAGTCATGGAGACTGGCTAGTTTAAGCAAGGGGGAAAGAAGCACCCGAAATTTGATTATGGGTCCTTTGTCTGCACGGTCCTAAAATCAAAGCAATAGGCTGTGGTAATGGCTATTGCTTTGAACATGGTGAGAGTTTAGTGTCTGCAAAATTGAGTAAAAAGAAGAAAATTTAAGCAAAACTTTCAGTATTGATGTGTAAGAATCCTATCAATTTACATCCATCTATTTAGCTTATAACTTTATGTCCTATTTTTCTGGTTACTTCCTTCATGTCTCTAACAGTATTTTGTATTATTTTTCCTGTCTCTTTTACAGAACTCACCAGTGGATCCAAAAGATGGCTCAGGTCACTTAAATTAGCTCCATTCTGAGACCTGAAATGGACACACCATTCACTATATAGCCATGTCCAGCAGTATATAGGATAGTGTATCTCTTTGCTTTATACTGATGCAACGTGGGCTTCATTCCTCACATCTTCTGTCCACAGTTATGTTTTTAAATACTTCTACCCAGGTGACAGCTTCATCTGCAGATGGCTTTTTAGACTGCACATGTGGAAGAACCAACCTGACACTGACCGTGGCTATGGCCATGCTGGGTGCTTTCTGTAGGTGTGTTGGTGGGGCTGCTGCCCCTCCAGCCATCATGATCATTGCCTGGCATCACGACTCTTCCTCATTTTTCTGAAATTTTTGTCTCTGCCCTTAATGCAATTTTCCTCAGTCTTTCTCATTCCTCTTTTCTTCTGCAGATTTCTTTCATTTCTATCCATAATGACAGTTAGCAGTCTGGCTGCACCAATCAAACTGTGCCAAAATTCCCTGTCTAGACCTACCAAACTTTCATCTTTTATGAAAAAACCCACCCATACCCACCCCCATCACATGCACACTTTTCCTTTCCTGGCCTCTTTACTGTCTCCAAAAGGGGATTGCTGTTTTTTGCATGTTTGCTTCTATTTCTTTACCTTAAACCAGCTCTGGATGCTGGTCTTCTAACTCTGCTGGAACAACTCTCAACCTTTCTTAATATAGAAACCATACAGAAAGAACTGTGTCAGTTTTCCTCCTGGGACTAGCTGTGGAGCAGTGGGCTGAGGGAAAAACTTGCTACTTATATAGAGAAATTTGATGAAGACAACATAGATGGCATGGTGGTGCAGGTTGCGTGGGTATTGTTAACCAGTAGTATTATTTAACTTACCATTCCCTAACAGTGCCAAATAACCTACACAATATAGGTATCAGGAAGTTGGGTTTTAAGGATACCTCTGCCACTGGAATCATTTTTAGAGGATAAAATTGACGCAGCCAAGTTGTCTGAGAAATAAAAGTTGGAAAAGAGATGTAAGACAGTAGATAAATCAGTATGTAGATACAGGTACCAAGACTTCAGCCTCCCTCTATACTGTTGTACTCACAAAACAGTTCTGTTCCACCTTTTGAGACTTTAGTTTTTAATGTTTACTCCAACATTGCAGGGAGACAAGGATTTACCTTTCACTTGCATGTTAAACTGATGTAATTAATAGCTATACTATTGCTATTACAGTGCTATATTCAAATATTCTTGATGTCTGTTAGCTACTTTGAACAGTACGGTTTCTGTATTTAAAAGAAATCTTCTTAGTGTCAGTCTCTTGCTTCTCTCAAATTATTTTATTAGTTATGTAGCTATCACATTCCCAACAGTGGAATGCTCCATAAACTTTAACCGATATGTTTTCTCCATCACTGACTGCATTTAAAATGCTGGACTCATGAGCTTCCTGGCCAGATATTCCTTTTGTGGACCAAACATATTCCAGGGAAAGACAGTCTTCTGATCAACCTTCAGCCTGGAAATGGATCATCAGGTTTTGGCTTGTTGCTATTCATAGTATTCTGTATAAATTATTTGGATGAGGGTACTGAAAGTAAGAATTCAAAATCTGCAGATGGTACTAAAATTGGAAGCACAAAATAATGCAATGAGATTCAATCAGATTTTGATTTATTAAGTAACTGGGCCATGAGAGGGCATGTGCTGTTTAACAAAGGCAAATGAAAAACTAATTAATCTGGGAATAAAAGATTTAAAGCTGCCAGGTGAGACAGTTGGCAGAATAATCAGAGAAAAGCTTAAATAATGTGAGTGAGGAAATCAATATGATTCAACTGCACATTGGGGAAACGTTTATGTCCCTGCTGTTCGATTTCCTTGAATTGGCAATGCTGGGACAAGGAAAGAAGTATGCTTTAACATATACTGTATTTATATTTGCATTTCATCCTACACTTTGTGTTACAAAGGTTTCTTAAAGGCCAAAAGGAATAAAAGGGCCCATTGTGGTAGGCACTACAAAAAACAGCAGCAGACAGCCAGTTGCTTAGAAGTCTCTAGTCAAAATAGATGAGAAAGAGCATGAGAGAGGTATGAAAAGGTAAAAGGTGATTTGACCAAAGTGAATGCTATGCTTAAGAAAAAATCAGGAGAAAAATCCTATTTTCCCTACTTCTAGTCCAGTCAAATGTGGCTCTTGCACTTGACTGGCTGAATATGTGGGCTCTCATTTCATACGCATGAAAAAGAGAAAGATCTTCAAATTCAGTTCCATTCATGAACTGTGCTGCTGTCCTTGTTTTGCGCACTCAAACATCATTAATCTCAGAGTACTGGAAGGAATCCCCCCCTAAAATCACAGATTTAAAGGATGTCTATAGCTCCATCAATATTGGAGCCTATGAAGTTAAGGCCATAAGGAGAAAAGATATTTGAATAGTTCCAATCTCATCAGTTAACAGAATAGTGATATACAAACTGGATTTCATGATTTCTTTTACATTAATCAGTCATGAGTAATATACTCAAAGGTGCCTAAATGTTATATGATAGTAATTTTCAAATTCTAATCAAAAGACTGCTGTGGTGTAAGGTTTACTTCCAAAGGATCCAAAAAACTAAGAAAAGCAAGTAGATTTTCGGTAGATTCATTAGACAGGGTTTGCACATTTATCAGTAAGCTTTTCTGAATTGGTGAATTGAAACCCACTGATTTAGAAAGTTAAAAGCAGCTCTAGGAAAACTATTAGTAGTTTTAGCTGCCTAAAATGCAGATAAAGCCAAAGAGTACACTTAAAAATGTCTAGTAGGCTAGTTCCCAGGTATCTAAGTGTCTATGAGAGCTGATTTTAAGTGACTTTTGAAATGGAACTTTGACACACTCTATAAATACAACTTAATCTTAGCATACAGTGTTTAAACTCTGCATCCAACAGCAATATAACAATTCTGGGTCCTTCTGGGAATGAAGTGCTTTAAACTGAAAGACGGTTGATAGGCATCTTTGTTGACCATTCATGTAGAGAGGCAAAAGGTGCCCTGAACAAACATTTCACTTTGCAGTCCTAGCTAAAATTACTTAGAGATGCTCATAAGAAAGAAGGATGCTGCTACCTACCTACAAGATAACAGAATTATTTTTGAATATTCACAAAATTATTCAAAGTTACTTTACAAACTATTAATCTTCTGCTTTATTTTTAAAAGTACATAAAACAATTAAGAATTGGCTTATTTGTGCTTTAAAGACAATCAATGTCTTAAATTTTATGTCTGGCACTCAGACTAGTAATTAAAAATACACTAGGTTCACAATCAAACCGCCACCTGACTGCCCATGAACAGGAACTCAATTTTGCTTTTTAAAGAAAATAGTTTTAAAAGTTTAACACGTCAAGAACAGATGTGCAGAGAAAGTCACTTGATGATATGAAGTCCTGTGTCAGGACTTAGAAATAACTATGAACTTATGTTCAGTTACAAAGATATAAATATTTAGTTCCAAATGCAAATTAATCTAAAAATGAAACTAATATTAAGAAATATTCAAATATTAGTCTAATGAATTAATTAATGAGACATAAGTTCGCCAGATAACTTCTAGAAAGGTTAATAAGCTACTTAATATCCTGTATGAATTTAGTAACATTAAAAAAAAGCACAAACATTTACATATTTAAGTGGCTTCTAAACTTCATTTGCCAGACATGTCTTTCATAGCTGCTTTGCAATATTGACACATACTTGAGTTTGTTCAAGACCAGAATCCAGAAATTGCAAATCTGGCCATAGAGTCTCAATATAATTATGTTGTGCTGAGATACCTACAAAGACTAAGGATATCCAGGTCAGCAGTTCTGAAATGTTTCAAATCAGCACTTTTTTTCCTTGTAATAACTTGGGACCCCTCTCTACCTTCTTAGACTTACTTTGCCTATAGCTTCCATGGCTTCTCTCACTTGTATATATACTTCCAAGTTTTATTCTTCCCCTACAGCCAAACTATCCATGTTATTTCATTGACATTCACCTGTCAAGCCTTTGCACCACTAGCACCAGAAAACTGGCTTGGGCTCCTGCCAGTCTATTCCCTACCATCAGACTGCAGCTTTTAACAAGATTTTTCTACACAGCACTTGTCCCAGTGTCCTGAAATTCACTGCAGGTATACAGCAGTCACCTCAAGTCTCTTCAGTCTCCCTCTCCAGTTGCTTCGCAAATATTTCCATCAAATCACCTCTCCCTTCTGCAGCACCGTATCCCACGACCTGGCTCCACAAGCTGCCCAACAAGAGAAGTACAGCCCTGGCCTGGAGGCTGGCAGAGCTGCCCTGGCCCTTGGCTCCAGCTCACTGCAGAGATGGAGAGCGGTCCCTCACCAGCTCTCCGAATGACGTTGCATATACGAGGGCAAGCCACTTGAACCGTAACCTTTGGCCCTGTTCCCAAATGCTGAGAGGGCTTTTCATGTGGCTGTATAAGAGAAGATCAGAGGAGAGTGAGCAGAGACACAGAGAAGGGGAAAAGAGAGAGTGAATTTTTCTGGGGTTCCTTCCACAGGAACGTTTTCCTGAGAAAAAATGACCTAATTACAAAAGCTTTTTATTTAGTGTAATGCTACCAAGCTACAACTACACAGAGACATTGACTGCTAACCAGACACTTTCACAATTATATCTAGAAAAAAATAAATACTTATGCCATTATACAGGAGAGACAGTTCTGAATTTGTAAACATGTTAAGTTTCTCTCACAGACATACTTAAAAAAGGTAAAGGCAAAAAGAAGAAACAACAAACCATTGTGAGACCAATTTAACACTATTGGGGGAAAAAAACCCGTAAAGTCTTGGCCCTGATTTTCATCTTCATAGAGCGGGAATTTTGCCATTAATTACAACCGAAATGAGATTTTGTCCATTAAAATACAACAGGTGATCAGTATCCTTAGTTTGCAGAAGTTGCTCAGCACTTGACAGGCATAGGTTCATAAAAATATGACCTATGATTAAAGACAGCTGGGGTCTGGAAGGAACAGAAAGTCAGGACAGAGGCACATGAACTGAATAAGGACCAAGAAAATGGAGCTCTGAAGACCAAAGCTGAAGCACACTAACAGGCTTGGCAGACAGGGATGATGACGAACACAGGATGCCTATTCACACGACACTTGACTCAAGCCAAAGCAATTAGTTCCTCCCTTCCACAAACACTAAATTTTCTCCTAAAAGTTCTTATATTTAAAAACAAATGTTTTTAAAACGAAACTGTGTGTATAAGTTTAAATTAGGGTACAAAGATTATTTACATAAAACTGCACTTTATGAAAAGTCTATGAAACACAACCTGTGAAAATGAAACTCTGTGAAATGACTTTTCAAAACTGTTAGAATAACTTCAACCTCCTTTAAAATACCCTATTATAATCTTTACCCAGTATTATTTTAGCAATAATACTTTGAAAATACTATCCAAGGGGATAACATTAAACAAATGTATAGCACAACATATACATTTATGCCTGAATAATCTTGTTCTTTGGAAAGTAAATCAAACCCAACAACTATAAGCATTAACAAATCAGAAGAGTTACAGAAGCAATTCAGAAAAAATGGTCAAATTTATAACTTGCTTTCTTTTACAGCTTATATGCAACTACCTAATTTGCCAGATGCCCGGATATTCCCTGATTAAATAATACATGTGCCTTACTTCCAAACAGATTTTAAAAACCTGGTAAGCGCTTTTGAGTGGTAGAAGTAGCCCTTCTTCGTGGGCTATCTGCAAAGGTTTGGGGTTTGTCTATAGCTTTTGTGAGCAGAGTTCTGCTGTCTTGTCCTGGGCAGTATTTTTGGATCTTGTGCAGGAAAAAAAAAAAAATATATATCTTGTATGTCTGCGTACAGTTTCTTTTTTGGCAGTGCCTTGTGAGAAATATATGGAGTCCCACATTACTATAACCCTTGTATAGCAGATCAGAAAACCTCCTCCCCACCATGCCCTCCCTGCAGCCTGTGCCGTAGGCGATATGAGCATAGGTGCCCACGAGCTCTGCTGATGCCTGCCCAGGGCTGCAGCTTCCCGGTCACGGACAGCACATCCAGGCCTGGGACCTGGCATGCGTGTGGTAATGTGGCAATTTTGGACCTTGCTGGTGTGCTCTGGCCCGACTTCAGGGCAGCCGTGACAGAGGCATGCTTATGGCAAGGGGCACTGGCTGTCCTCCCAGGCAGGAATATAAACGTGCTTTGGGGGTGGTTAGAGACTCGAAGAGGACAAGAGAAAAGGCTTCTACTCATATTCCTCGCCAACTCTTTAAATAATAGAAAGTAATGCAAATTAGGCAGTGCTACAGAGCACATCACAAGAACGAGTGCCTTGGGAGGCAACACCAGAGCTCTATCCACCACTCCTTCAAACTAGTCACACATTGAAAAGGGCACATTTTCTGGAAGAGTTCTTTATATTCAAACAGTTATATTACATTACCCTTTGAAGGGGATCAGGTTTGTGTTATGAATTAAGATCCTGAGGGAGATTTTTCTAGTCCGTTCTCCACTTTGAATCTAATACAGAAACAATAGAAAACAGCTATCTAGCCAGCTAGCTGCTTTTTCCTCAAGCCATCCTCAAGAAGCTTTTATGTCCATATAATTTAAAACAGACAAGATACTGCATATTGCATAGAAGAATCCTGCAATGAAATCCTATGGCCCAAGAGCATTTTAACTTCTAGTAAGGTGAACCACAAAACGAGTACCGCATGAGGAATTTGTAGTGCATAGTGCCAAATGCTTTATTCATTGCTTATAAAATGTGCTGCCAGTAAATGTTTCATTAAATTTTCATTTGTGTTAAACAAGAAATCCTAAAGACACAACAACTGTGAAAGAGGAAGAGAAAACATGAAGACGACAGGCTTGGAAAAAACATCTACAGGAGAGGGAATGGCTTTATAACCAAAGATAAGTACTGTTACCACACCAAGGCCTTCCTTTGAAACTCTTTCAGAATATTACAGGAGCATGTTATTGGACTGAACTAGGTCTCAGGATTCTGGACTCTACTTATAGCTCTGCTTGTCAGGTACTCTTAGGGGAGGCTCTTCCACTTTCCAGCATTAGTTGCTGTCTATCTACAGTAACAGTAATGATATTATTGCCTTTAATTTTATTAACCTTTCTGTTTCATACTGTGTAAAGTAAAAGGAAAAAAATTACAGAAAATAGAGCAGTGTTAAGAGATCATCTAGTTCAATCGCTTTCTCCGAGTGAAGATTAAATAGACCTATGGAGTTTCTGATTACACAGCCTTAAAGGTCTCCAGTGATAGGGACAACCTCCCCAGGAAAACAATTCTAGTATTTACTTATGCCAGCCATATGAAAACATTTCCTAGAGTCTAACATGAATCTTGCCTAATCTAATTTAAGGTTATTATTATTTTTGCTTTGTCAAACATCAGTGTGGAAAATGGATTGTAGCTTTCACCCCTTGCAACAACCTTAGAAGATATATCTGCCTTTGGCACGTTTTCTTTCTGGACACAAAAGTCTTTCCTCTTTGACAATGTTTTCTGGATCCATGATAACTGCAGTGCTCTCCCATGGAACCTCTGCAAACAAATCTTCTCTGAAATATGCCAAACTACAACTCATCTGAGCTTTACGACACTGGTACACTTTCAGTTCCCTCATCTGGATTAGTAATAGAAACATTGAAGAGTACCAGATGCAGGATGGATCCTATGAAGCTCTATTCAATACATTACCTTCTCATTTTGACAGGGTACTGCTGAACGACAGGAACTCCCTGGATGCAGGTATGCTACCACTTTTGTAACTGCCCTAGTGCATCATTTGGTGAGGCCTGGTCAGAACAAAAAGGTATAAAACCACTTCCCAGAAGCCTTTGTCCATAACATTCCTGTTCCATTTAATAACCAGATAAACACTCTTCATTTTACTAGTGCACTCCCAGAATGATTACTTATTATTCTTCATGTTTCCAGCTACTGCCATTTTATTCTGTGCTTTGGCCCTTCTGATTTTATTTCTGGTGCTTATATTACTGCTTTACACTTACTTACCTTCGGTAATTTGACAGACATAATTCTTAGTTGCCAGTTTATTTCAACTTGCCATCAATCTCATAATGTAGTCCCACATATTTTTCGCTACACTTTCTTACACTTCTATGGGAGGATACAGAAGAGCAAGGGAACCAAAAAGAT